ACTCATTCCCATTAACGTGGTCTTTCCAGAAAACAATATTATGAATTCCTAGATACTTACCAATAGTAGTTTTATGTTGAATATGTAAAATATCAACAATATCAATTCTAGTTGGAGAAGTGGTATTCTTGAAAAAAATACCAAGACGACTTATGAAAGTTTATTTTTTGGCCCGCCGCTTCAGAAAACAGGGCGTTTGTTTGCCCTCACTAAGTTGGACTGGACTGGACTAGACTAGCTATTAGTCTAATACTGTGTTTGTTCCATGCTGGGACTAACATTAATGAGACTAAAGGGGACTAGCATGGACAAAACCCTTCACTAAGAGGTCTTAGCGAGACCCCCCAATAACCATGGGACTAGCTAAGACTATCCTCTCTTTCTCGTCCTCGTCATGCTCAACGACCACTCTCGACAGACTCCTCGTCATCTCCGGTCACCTAGATCAATCATTAACTTTCCGACTCTCTTTCAGATCCATTTCACAACCAACTTTCATACAAAATATACCAAATTGAAGTTGGTAGTGACAAGATTATGATTTTACCTGAATCGAGGCCAAAATGTGGTCGAATGTGGTTGGAAAATGGCCTGAAAGTCTTGGCCTGTTTGGGCTTCTTCAAATCCATGACAAATTCGAGCATTCAAAGCTAAGATCTCAGTCCAGGGATGGTGATGAATTTTTTGGCGGTGCTAACTTCATCCAATTTAACGAGGGTTGGCCGAAAAACACATCGGGAAACCTGCAACTCGTCGAGAAAATTGGAGTCGTGAGGTCCCATTCGAACAACGCATAGCTAGAGAGGGAGGGAGGACAGAGAAATAAAGACTGGAATCAATAAGGAGTTTGACCAGGAATGAGAAAGAGACATGAATTGAGAGGTCTAAGAGGAAAAAAAGAGGGAGAGGGTGGGACGATGAGAGAAGAGGAAAAGAGTGGGACGGAAATGGTAGGAAAAAATGAAGAAAAAGATAAGATCATAATAAAATATTAATAATTTATATATTAAATAATATAATATTATAATTTGTTATTATCCAGCTTCTTAGTCCAATACTGCATCAAACGCTTCACTAAGTTAGTCCAGTTTAGTCTAGTCTAAACCAGTCCAGCTTAGTCCTTGAAGCTAATCCAGTCCAAGATAGTCCGGCGCAACAAACGCCCGATTTGAAGAATATTCCTCACACCCCAAGGCGTGGCCTTAACAAATAGGAGATAGTCATCAGCAAACACTAGATTAGAGATTTTAAATCCTCTAGGTGAGGAAAAAATACCAATATGAGACTTCGGATTATTTGTTAGGGTATGGAGGTATATAATTAAAAGTTCCATGCAAATGATGAAATTATAAAGGGACAAGGGGTCCCCTTGTCTAATTCCATGCTTCGGATAAAAATAACATAAGGTCGCCCATTTCTAAGCATAGAGAAGGAAGGAGAAGTAATACATTCCATAACTTATTCAACCCAACGATTATCAAAACCAAATCTAAGAAGAACATACCAAATGTAATCCCAGTTTAAGTAATCATATGCCTTTTCCAGATCCAGCTTAACACCCATAGCTCCAGTTCTTCCTTTCATCCTATTGAAACCAGCAAACATTTCGTGAGCAATAAGAATATTATCATGAATGGCTCTACCCAGAGCAAAAGTACCTTGATTTTGAGAGATGCAAAGATCCAACAGAGGTTTTAGTCGTTTAATGATGATCTTTGTGATAATTTTATAATTTTATAACTAACATTACACAAACTAATAGGCCTATAGTCACTAACAGTTTCCGAATTATCTATTTTAGAAACTAAAGTGATGGTAGTATGATTTATGAGTCTTAAGCTGGAACCATTTTGGAAAAAATCTTTGACCAAACATGAAACAGATTCCCTAATTTGGTCCCAGCAACCATGAAAAAAGGCCATACTTAAACCTTCAAGACTCGGGGCTTTAAGAGCTCCAATACTACTCACAGCATCCCAAATTTCCTCATCTATAACAAGAGACAACAAAATTTCATTATGATGATTAGAAACACAAGGTTTAATGATATCCGTTAAATTACTTAAGTCAACACCCAAGGGAAGACTGTCACAAGAAAAGTGCTTTTTAAAATTGTGTACAAAAACCTATTCAAGGCCCTGACCAACAAACCACCAAAAACCATTCTCATCTTTGACTTTTGTAATTTCATTCCTTTTCTTACGAATAGTAGCCACAGTTTGAAAGAATTTAGTATTCTTATCCTCAAGTTGCAGCCAATTAGTTTTAGCTCTCTAGACCCACATAATTTCTTCACAAAGTAACACATGATTTAATTCATCTCAAAGAGATTTTTCCATCATCAAATCAACAGAGTTGTTACTCATAATTTGCTTTTGAAACTCATCAATTTTATTTAACAATTCTTTCTTTTTCTCCTTTAAATTGCCAAAAGTGTCCTTATTCCATTAACAAGCGAGAAATTTAAACTTACCAGCACACACTCTGAATTTATCTTTAGGATTAATAGTAGGGTCACAATGTCAAGAATTTTGCACAAACGTTTTAAACTAAGGATGATTAAGCCACATAGCCTCAAATTTAAATGAGAAGTAGTTATTCTTCTCCTCACTAGAATTTAGAGATAATAAAATATGACTATGATCAAAACCAAAAATAGGATAGTTATGCAAATGATAATTAGGGAACATATCTAACCATAAAGGGTTAGCCACCACCCTATCCAATCTCTTGAAAACAACTTGTATGATCCGTATGACAATTAGTCCAAGTAAAAGAAACTCCATAAGCATTTAAAGACAAAAGGTTACCAAGATTAAGAAAATTGATAAAATTGTTCATGACCGTGGTATGGGTTTGATTACCTCCAACCTTCTCTTAAAGATTAACAATATTGTTAAAATTTCCAACTAAGCACTAAGGACTATGAATTGGATCTAACTTGAGGACCTCCTCCCACAGGTCACACTGCATATGTTTTTTAGGAAAGGCATAAATGAAAGTAACTAATTGCTCTAAATTAGTAACTAAGTAGGTACCGTTTGGTACGTGGGACGGGACGGAACAGAGTGGGACAAGGCGTTCCGTCCCACGTTTGGTGCGCCTAAAACGGGTGGAACGAGTTGTTCCACGGGACGAGTTTTGGGTGAATTTTCATTCCACCTCACCCCCCTGGAACGACTCGTTCCACATCCGTGGAACACAAAATTATAACCTCTCCGTCTCCTTCTTTTTCCTCCTTGTTTCCATCCGAGAGCATCTTTGCTCCCGCTCCGTTCTGTTCCGTCCTATCCCGTCCCGTCCCGTCCCATTCCATTCCGTCCCATCCCGTCTGCATACCAAACGATACCTCGCAGAACAATGGGTATATCTCAGACTAGTTCCCGCAAAGAGACTTGGTAGTTGTTGTTAGGTAGACCCGCTTATGCATTTATAGGATTTGAGTTTAATGTTTGGACTTACAAGTCTTGGTGGTTATTTTAAGGCCTTGATTTTTCTTCCCGTAACTGGACCATTTAAATCGCTTTAAGCGTGCAAATGTAGTTAATTATAAGCATTTGGAGTAATCCACCAAAGCCCAAATGGTGTTGGGCTAGGATTTAAGGGGACTGTTAAGAAAGTATACGACTATTAGGATTTAATTTTACAATTTGAGTACCACACGCTACTTTTTGCTAGCTAGTACTATCTATCATCTATTTTATTCTTTACACACTTCTTTTCAATTTTCGATTGTCGAATTGAATGAATTGAAGAAGATCAATAATAAAAAATTAACAAAAATATGTGGAAGGTAAAAATAGGTTTCTAAATAGCACTATCCAACAATTGTTTTAAAGATGTGATCAAAACCATATGAAACAAACATGGATCGATGCAAATTTTGGATATGTTGTAAGTATACATGTCCAGCAAACATCAATAAAATATTATGGCCAGATCATGTGTGATTTATTTATGATGAGGTGTAACTACGTCTACATTAGGGTTTCACTAGCCTAATATTGGAGGTTTGGTAACGCGATGTTTTGGATAATTGTTTGAGGGAAGAGATGGCTTTGTCATCATTAACTGTGATCAATATATCGTCAACATAACTAAGAAGAGCAGTAAGAGACTTTCCACGTTTACGAGTGAAGAGAGAGTAGTTTGCTTTAGACTAAGCATAACCACCTGGGTGAACAACTTCCATGAACTTTGCAAACCATTGGCGAGAGGCTTGCTTGAGGCCATACAGTGATTTGTTAAGGTGACACACTAAGTTCTCCCTCTGTCGCTGAAAATTAGGTGGAGACGACCAATGGTGTAGCTAGAGTTTTCAAATAATGGAGTCATAATATCAACTAAAAAAGCTTTATTAGGCCATTTCGTCAAGCACCTAGTCGGCTCCTGCCAATTCGTACCAACATATGCCGAAAGCTTATGCTAACATATGTCGAAAACTACTATTATTTTTAGAGGTTTGTTGAGGGTGGATGCATGATATTGTGGAGTAGTATTGAAGACTGCTAAGACTTTTCAACTAAGGTTCATCAAGCTCATGGTGCGCAAAATAGAGTTGCACACAAGAAAAGAGAAAATGAAGACAAATATGATAGAAGATAGAAGAAGTAGTAGGAGGAGGCTATAACTTAGTTTGTCTTAACTATTTATGGGTCAAATACAATACACAAACAAATATATTTTGACGTTGTTAGGATCAAGGGACAACCAATGACCACATACTGGCTCCGCCACTGGAGAAGGACAACAAGCTGATTAAGTGACATATTACGTGCAGCGGCAGGAGCAGCAACAACCTACATCCACCTCATTGTTATGTGGATATCCACATAAGAATCAGCAGGCAACAAACAGCATCCATAGAAAGCTTTCTTACATCATTATATCCTTTTCTCCATCTAATTTTATTTGCAATCAACAACCAACATTTCGCGTCAATTCAATTCCACATAGCTTTTAAACCCTAATTTGAGCTTTTTTTTTTTCAGCACTTCAAATGTAGAAGACACTCTTTTACTCTTGGAGAAGAAAATAGAAAATACATTGTACATGAATTAACATCTCCTACTACTGAAGCAAATGCTACTCCATGAAATGACACCAATTATTTAATAAAAGAGCATTATAAACTCTCAGTTGCAACTGTCACTGAAATTCCAGAGATTACATAAAAAGCCATCTCTTCCAAAAATTTACCGCAAAGTTCTTACTTTCTTGCAATTACAAGCATCTTCCTCCATATCCTGCATTTCTATATAGTGCTTGCTTTATGTCTTCAGAAGTTACCATTGTTCTCTGATCAAAATCCTGTTTCCATAACAACAATGAATCACCAGGACAATAAAAAACATTAATTTAATACTTTTCCGACTACACAATCCACAAACAGATTCTATAAATATATATTATTGGAAAGCCAAAAAATACCCAGTGCCATTATGGCATCAGAAAACAAAAAGAAAAAAAGGCAATTCACATACCTCTGAACAAGAAGCTTGCATTGCAAATTCATTGAAGCAGCTAATAACACACTGTTGAATCTGAAGGCCTAAGGCTTCCAAGGTAGATACTGTAGATAACAACAGCCCTGGCTTTCCTGTACAGCATATGTCAATCTTGGTGTCCGCATTCCTCCTTTGCACATCAAACTGCAAATCAGTACCACAGCAATGTCAATTCAGGATTACTTTTTTTTTAGCGATATTCTAATTTAATCTAAACTGCAGGGCAGGGGACTCAAAATTGGGTGCAGAAAGAAGAGCACAAACTGCTCTAGTCAACTCGGCCACGTCATTTTGAGATTTAAATTTGAGGATTTAAGAAGTGCTTGAAGTTGATGTGTTGCAGAGTACATACCTTAGGTGAGTTCCTGACTAGCATTTCATTTGGTTTTATATCCTTGAAAAGGCTCATCACATTTAACTGATCTGGATCTGCTTCAATTTCTTGTTGCAAATTGTTGATTCTCTCCAGGAGCTCCTTCATGTAATCTATAGTGTCTCCAAGTATAGATGTTCTATCCATCTACAAACCATTTTAATAAATTAAGCAAGAAAATTAGCCTCTGTATTCAACGTTAATATCTACATGCATTCTGAAAAAATGGGGTTAATTAAACTTAATTACCTTACTTATCTTGGGCACAATTGATCTTAGCATCGAAAGCCGGTCGTTCAATCGCTTTCTTCTTCTTCTCTCAGCCATTAGATTCTTTGATGGCTGCCCCTGCAACTTCTTATTATTAGCTCTGGTATTTCTCTCCACACACATTCCTATGTTGAAAGCTGGGACTTGGTCAGGGGACTGAGTTGGCTCCACTTTGCAGCCAGCAGCTTCAGCTTGAGTCTCCAAGTTGTGCATTTCATCACCAGGGAAACCCAACTCTTCTTCTTCAAGCATGGACCATGGATTGTCTTCCGGGACCGGAAACGGTGGTGTGTCGAGGGTGTTGTAGGATGAGTCAGTGACCTGCTGGTGAGCTGAGAGCAGTGCTTCATCAGTAATGCCAAAGCCTAAGGGATAGTAGACTTCTTGATTGACGGTGGTGTTACCGTTGAAGTTGCTGCTGTTAAAGTTGGGTTCAAATGAAGGTGAGAATTCATGGGTGCAGGAAGAAATTGGGAGGAAAGAAGATGAAGGGTTTTGTTGATCAAAGTAATCAAAATTTCCCCAGCTACCACTACTAGACAACAATTCATTCATTTCTGTTGGAATATTGGTTTCCCATGTACTGCTACTACTACTGTCTCTTCTTAGAGCTAATAACTCCTCTAAGAAACCATGTTCATTCAACTCCATCTCTCTCTCTCTCTCTCTCTCTCTCTCTCTTGTGGGAATGTTGATGTTAGGTTAGTGCCCTGATAACAAGATGCACCAAGTGGAATATTTATATAGGAACGAGTTTTCAAAAGGCTTCCATTATTATAATACGTTTCACTTCTATTATTTTGTTTATTTATTTTAGGACCCTTAAAAACCTAAGATTAATATGGAATCTCTCTCAGGTAATACTCCTTCTTGCTATTGTTCATGATTATACATAATACTGTTTAACTTCTTACATTACATGGAGGAGAATTCTTCTTTATTTGCAAATCACGCGTGTGTAGAAATGACTTAAACATATTTGATGTAGTCAAACGGTTCAAGCAGCATGCTTTTCTTTTTATACGCAAGTTCGAATTTTTTTTAACACGTTAAATTGTAATTTGCATGAAAAAGCAGCTGAACTAAGAAGACAAGTATCCTTCGCCTAAAGGAGGGATTTCAAGTCTTTTTCACCGAAATCTCTGCAATCAAAACAACACACAATATAAAATTGATATGCTCCGAAAACTTTGACCCACCCTTTCAAAGGGTGGGGTTAGCATTATAGACCCTGTCCGGTTCTTTGTATGCTTGAGCTCAGTAATATTACGTGGTCACGAGAGATTTTCAGTGTGTTGGAATACTACTCGGTACAATAAGTATCATAATATAAGTGGTTTACTATTTAAAAAATAAATAAAATTCAACTACTTATATTATAATATTTAATATATTAAACTGTGTTTTCGGCATACTGAAAAATTTCTCCACAATCATAAATTTTCTCTCTCTGTTGAGAAAAATGGCTGAGTTGGGTCCCATGCAACAATGCCTCCAAAATTTGGGTGAGCTCACTAATTCAAATTAGTTGGTGGGCCTCGTTTGTTTTCTTTCTGCCTCTTATTACTAAAGTTAGAATTATTCGTCGATATTTGTTTTTAATCTTCCTGTACAACTAATAACTTGATTATTCTCTTCCTTTTCGTTTTGAGATTTAGTAGATAGATCGTGGGTTTTTCCTTCTGTCCTCACCTATGTACATGAATCAAGAGTGTAGAACATTTATTGATCATTTTGATGACGGTCTCTTTAACAAAGATGAACATCATTTTGGTTAGCAGCCATTAAAAGTGGTTTACATAACACCACTCAAAATAAAACTTTAATGGTAACTTTCCAGCACTACTAGGTTAAGTACTTTTGTAGGTACCATATCGAGTTACACTTTGCCAGGTATTTAAAGTTTTTGTTTACAATTAAAATTTTGTCATCCAAGAGAAATTTTAACTAGGTGGTAATTACTAATCAATCAGCATATCACATCGCAAGAAAGTCTTCATTGAATAATTGTAATTAAGAGTAATTGCTAAGAAATTTGTATCGTACCACCTTTTTAATATGGCTAGAATTTAAAAATACAAGTAGTGGTATCCCTAAGGTTTTCTTAATTGTAAATACCAGTGTATATTAAAATAGTGGTTAGCTAAAGACCTATTTTGGCATTGTGTTTGTGTGTGTTTTCTAGTATTTCATGAATATGTATAGAGGCTGCATAGTCTATCATGTGTGGCTGTTAGCGTTTGGCTCATACCACCAATGCACTAATTGACATTAAACATATGGGGCAATTTGTGTTGCATATATGAATCCTTAGTACTAGTATACTCCTATCAAAACAACGGTTCTTTGGTAGCTTGTGGATTTACCAAGTCGACAATATTACTATCGTTTACATTAGCAATTTTCTTGGTCGGTAAGCTGGGAATCTGAATAAAACTTGTAATTTGAGAGTGGCGACATAGAGCCCCATCCAAATGCTGGTACAGGGTGTTTGACTTCGCAGCTTTTATGAGATATTGTATCCTTGTCCAACTGTAGTAATGAACTGGTGCCACACAATGTGTAAGACACACGGCCGCAAAGGATAAGTACTCCGTTAGATAAATATATATATATATATATATATATATATATTTAACAATACAAGCAATTATACAGGGTTTAGTACTATCTGGTGAAGGAGAAACATGATTTTAACAATAAATATTTATGTTGCAAAACTGTAAATTTAAACTGTATATTCAAGTGAAGATCAAACAGAATAATACTATGATAAAATAACATTTTTCTTTAATTGTGTATAGGTAGGTAAGATACTTCTGCTAGATTAGGCTCTAGCTTCCTCGTTACAAAGTTGGATTGCATCCACACCATGTGTAGCTCTAACTTTTTTCTCGGTGGAGTTCTTACAATTTTGCAGATGGGTGGTACATCCATGCAGGGGTACATTATATATCCTTCATTTTGTTATTAATTTTTAGAGTCTTACAAAAATACCCTCCACTATCAGAGTATTTTGCAAGGAATCTAATATTATATATAATTCTATATACAGCAGCTGTTTTAAGGGTTCAACAATGGAGATAAGCCTAATTACGTTAGCCAAAAGACAAGGGTGGGATCTATAAACCTAAAATTGAGTCTGGTTTATGGGTAGAATTGTTGAGCTGTATGGAAACGTGAGCTAGAAACTAAAATTGATTCTGGTTTATTTAGCCAAGGGCAGACAAATTGTGTGTTTTGCTACTAATTAAGTTTAAAGACCGTAAGTACTTATTTATGAACCCGAAATGCTACGAGCAATCTGAGCCACATGCTTTAAAAAAAAAAAAACAAGCAACAGTGAACAGATAGTTGTTGACATGTGGTGAAGAGTCCAGCGAGCTAGCTACTTAACCTAGTAATTATGCAGCTGGGTGCATGTTATGCACAAACGCGCTAAAGATTAGTTATGATTAATTAAATGAAACACCAGTTCCCTCGATCATAAGAAATTAGGGAAAAAAAAAAGAAGGCAAGTAATTCTCTTTAAAAACATTTTACCGAGATAAAAACATATAAATATTCAGGTGGCAAGAGAAAAGGTTGCATTTGGTTTCTATTGAAGTTTGAGTTTTTATTTGATAGTGTTGACTCTTTGCTATTTTCTTAGCATCCTAGCTGCCATTCTAGGTATGAAATGATGAAACATCTAACAAATGATTAAAACTTGTTAGAAACTAAGGGAAAAGGATCATCGTCGTGATCTCACCCATTCATCGTACATCATGCGATCAAAAATCATTTTAAAATTTAAAATTTAAAATTAAATATGAATAGTTTTTAATGAAAACTGACCGCACGATATACAATGAACAGATGAGATCACGGGATCCCTAGAAAAAGAATACGGATCCTCCTTTTCCGAAACTAAGAACCATTGTAATGATGGTAAAGGCAATTTGAAATTTAATATACGTTTCGTACTCCAGGCTATTTGTTCGATGTTAATCCTAAGTGTTATATTACTGGATTGAAATCCTCAACAATAAAATGATGAAATTAGACATAAAAGAAAGATATATAAGGTATACAATTGTTTTTTTTTTTTTTAATAAAGAAGATATCTCACTACATACATATTGATAGCAAATTAATCGATCATCCTCCCATGCAGTCGCACTAAACAACATTTTCTTTTTTTAATTGTTGATAAACAGTTTTCAAGCATATACATTAAGATTAATTTGTGTTCCACTTTGGGAATGACCTCGCTCCTCTTTTTGATATAGATCAATCATATCTTGACACGTGTGCAATATTTTAAAACGAAAAAAATAGATAGATCCAAATTAGGAGTTTGAGTATGATTAAGAGTTTATGTTTTTAAAAGATAAACACATGTCAATATATGATTAGTTTATATCAAATGCAGGAACGAGCTCATCCCCATAAAGGAATTTAAATATTATCGTTACACAATTGCCAAATCACATTGTAATTTACGTGTCAAGTGCACAAATTAGAAAACGTGAGGTAGAATATGTAGAATTATCAAAGAGGCGGGCCAAAGGTCCGTTTCCAATACTGTTCCCAACTTTGTAATTACCACATGCCCAATCCATCAAGTCACACGTGAGAGATCCACATATTGGCAACCAAGTGGAGCTAAGGGGACTCACCCTACACGCAAGGTCAAGGGACCCACCATCATTGCGCAAGGCCAAGGGAATCCACCCATACCCATCATGTGGCAATACAGGCTGACTCTCTGGTTCTAATACCAAGTAGAATTATCAGAGAGACAGGCCAAACATCCACTTTCAACAACACCGATACGATCCCTGACTTGGTAATTACCATCTGCATAATCCGTCAGATGTAAAGTTTTATTACAAAAGACTTCGGTATTAGTTAGTGTAAAGTTAAGATACGATCAATGTGGATATTTCAACATAATATACTTTCATAAATCGTGTGCATATCTCAATTACCGCACAAGTTTTTTTTTTTTTTTTTTTTTTGTGCAAACAAAATTTGATGGCTGATTTCGAAACCGTCCCCAATATCAACCCAAAAATAGCTGACTATTCCTATCTACCCAACACATGCATTAGAATTAGTCTTAGCCTAATATTTAGTTAACTATATGTTTTAGTTTCTTGTTTACGATTACTCGTGTACAGTATAACTAAATATATGTATGTATATGTCGGGCCATATATCCTCACTCATCTTGTTAACCGTACTTTCATGCACAACACACCAATAATATTTTTATTGTTACATGACTAAACCATGCCATTGGGCAAAGAAGATCCTTTTACTTGCATGCTTATATACCACATTATTTGTACTTTTCATTATAATTAAGTCCACTGGTCCATATTGCATATAAGGTTAATTCGTCCAGCTAGATTTGTATTATGTAATCCAAAAAAAAAATCTAGATTTTTGTTTTGTTGGCTATAATTTTGTCTTGATTATTTATATTTAAATGATATAACTAGATCAGTTTTGTTATCTATATAATATTTCTAAGGCCTGATTGGATAAATGATCCTCTTGGTGATAAAGTAGTCAGAAAATAGCTCATACGGTAAGAATTCGTATTTAAATCATTGTAGTGAAGTCCGTTAGGATTTAAACCTAAAAAAAAAAACTTCCATTTTTTTCCCCGTTAAATGCATTAGTCATGGTTTCACACTCAACAACCAAACTTCTTCCACTGCCATTGCCAGTTCC